ATCCGCACAGCGGCGCATGATACAGGCAGAATGTTATTGCCGACAAAGGCAAGAGAGACTGGAATGGCCATTTCTGGCTTATTGGCCGTCGTCAGCCAGTCATACCCAACCCCGAGGTGTGGAACACCTGCGGCTCGAACTCACGACCTGTTAGTTAGAAGTCCAACGCCTCTAACCACTGCGCCACGAGCTCGTCAGCTTCCGAAGACAAAAATGAACAAGGGACGAATTCATGGACCAAATCGTATTTGTAGCCAATGGGTGTGAGATATAGATGAATAACGGGATCAAGTCAGATGACAACGCCACCTCGTCCGCCTCCACTTCGAGCTGTTGGATGAGCGTAAAAAACTCTTCAGGCTGACTTCACAGCCAACGGACAGGTCAAAGTTCGTCCAGATTGAACGGCCATAATACGACGCAGGACCAACAGGAACAGAAACCGCACTACTCTGATGGAAGCGACGAAGTTTCCAAAACGTCAGTGTGAGTACAGTTTGATCTCTTCTTCTTTGTCCCCCTCAGGAGATGATAAACGTGATGGTGAAAGCTGACTGGTAGGAATGACAGGGCAGTATCGATCTTTAGGCAGATTTAAATTTTGACGGTTTTGCACACTTCACGTCTGATGACGACTTGGAGAACCAAAGCCGAAAATTCACGAAATAAATTGTTCTATCTTTCCCGATTGACTTATTTTTTTCTGAATTATGCCCCTTATGATGCCCACCTTCAAAGATGTATATACGGAAATAGGTTGCCTACAAAGACAAGGGGAACTGGGATGGCCATCTTGGACTTAGTAGTCGTCATCAGCCAGCTCAAATCCGCGGCCTCTTGGTTAGAAATACAACGATCGAACCACTGACCCACAGGCTCGTAGACAGTGATTCATGCCGTGCTCCCGACATAGGTACTAGTCAAACGCATGGACATGTTTTTCGCCGATTTTTCTGCCGCTGCATGACTCAGCCGTAAGGAACTAGCATAAAGACCAATCACAAAGCGAAGAATTAGAGGCCCGTTGCCTGTGACAGAACAGTCAGCGGTGGTCTATAGCATACCATGTCAAGACTGTGATGCAAGCCATGTCGGTAGAACGGACAGACGCCTCGGCACAAGATTGCACGAACACCAGCTTGCAATCAGCCGCAAGGATAAGCTGTCGCTGGTCTATGGCCACACACACCGGCAGAACCACAGTCTAGCCTTCAAGAAAACGGGGGTTATCGGTCCAGCGAGTGATGAGATGGCCAGATTGATGCTGGAAAGTCGGTCCTCGACGGGCACCCCTAGCCTAGTCATAGACCTACACCCCGCCTACCGGGCGCTCCGCACAAAGCTCGAGTCAGTCCAGACAGGGCTAATATGGCTAATAAAAAAGTCACACGATGTCGACTTCCGATGCTTGTGGAGAAAAGGCGCAGACCAGAAGTCGCGTGACCAGCATAACGATAGTTCGCCCGTCGAGTTCAATGATTTCCACTGTGTGCTCCACAGCAGGGGGGAGCAGGGACGGTGACTTGCACGCGAATTAGTTTAAAGTGATATGAGACTTTCGTAGCATCTACCGCACTCTCCCTGTCCCATTCCCCACCTGGACCCGGTGTCAAGACAGAGTCAAGAAGACCGGAGGTGGGGGGAGGGCGCAGGTGGCTGGCACGGCTGGAGCCGCACCTAGGTCTGCCACCAAATCCCCTGGTCTACACAGCAAATTACCAGGATTCTTCACCAACTACGACACCCTAACAGGGGCCAGAGCGACGAGGTTGACCGGGCAGTCATGCCCACCGTCAGTGTACCTAGCGGGAACGCAAGCGCATCCACCGGCAGGGCACCAGGTGTCCGGAAAGTACTTGCGTATACCAGGCTGTAAAGGCCATGGTTTACTGATAATGGCATAGCACACGCTTACAGACCTTCTGACCTAGAACGGCGACACATGTTTCTCCATATAGCCTAGGTCTTCACCCTTAAAGGTTAGGTAACCAAATAGTCGTCGACTGAGAGGCACTACCCACAGAGTACACACACTCCTCACATACACGAGAGTGTCACAGATCGCTGGAGACGGAGCCTGGCTCTCAACCCACCAGTCCGTCACTTTAAACAAACACAACTGGACGGACTGCGTGGACTGAGTTGGAACGTCAGTCGGCACCATTACGCATGCGACCGAGTAGGCGGTTTGTGAATGTGCGTGAGCAGTGCGGACAGTGGAGGCGAATGCGGCAGGTGTAGGTAGGTGCTCCAGGCACTGGTTCACCAGTCTCTGTGATAGATTCGCAAATGACCGACTTGGCCGACGTGTGAGGTGATTGTGCGATCGCAGTGGGAACAGGGATAACCAAGTCATTATCACTGGAGGTGGGAGTGTTGTTGGTGATGGTAGAAGATAATGGAACGTCAGACGTCCCATCGGTGGGGGGGGGGGGCGCTGCGTGAAATCGTGGTGGCGATGATACTCGCCGCTGCTGTCCATGCAGGGGCTGGGGCAGAGCGGATGGTGGCGGCGGGGCAGAAACAGTGTGAGCGGCGGGCGGGAGGGAGATAAGAGGTAGACGTTGTCAGGTTGTTGGCGCATTGGGTCCGAAGGTGTCTGACGAGACAGATTCGAGTGCGGTGGGAGCGCGAGCATGTTTGAAGTGGTGGATGGTTGGCACTGAGGAGGCGAGGCACTTGTGACTCGCGAACCTCTATTTTGGCTTTGACCGCGGCGATTCGGTTTGCTTCGTAGATGGCTGCGCCGGTCGTCGCTTTTCTTCGTCGCACTGGTCTGTTCTGGACGAGGTCCTTCCAGGTCCCAGGTGTTTGGTCTACAGCCATTTTAGAGAGTTCTTCAAAGTTTCCGTGTAGCACCGTTTTTGTCTTTGTCGACGAGTACCCGTGGCAACATCACCAAAGAAGAGTTGTTTCGGTATGCATGTATCTTCTCTCCTCACCAGTGGCCGCTCTGAAGTAGCTGCAATTACCTCAAAGTTGCATGAATACTGAGGATGCTGATCCGTTCTAGGACTTCCGTGTCGGGGATCCTGTCTTGCCATCTTAGCTTTTGTATTCTGCGAATGCAGCAGAGATGGGAGTGGTTGAGTTTCATGGCATGGTTTGGATAGACGGTCCAGGTTTCCGCTCCGCAGAAGTGACGTAAGGACGACGGCCTTGAAAATCTTCAGTTTGGTTTTCAGTTAGAGGTCGTGCCGATTCCATACGAAGTTCCGCAGCCGGCCGAAGGCTTGGCTGGCTTTGGAGATCCAGTGGGCCACTTCGTCGTCGGTTATTCTGCTGCTGGAAAGTGTGCTTCCGAGATAAGCAAAATTGTCCTCGGTTTCGAGTTGATTGCCGTCGACAGTGATATGAGGAGTGCAGTGTTGCATGCTGGGTGACGGTTGGCTCATGACCATTGTTTTGTCCGTATTGATAGTCGGACCGAAGTTAGCGCACCCCGCGACGAGGAGGTCTATGTTCCATTGCATGTCCACCTAGGTCTTGGTTTTGAGCGCGCAGTCATAAGCGAAGAGCAGGTCGTGGACAGTGCTCATAGGTAGTCGCGTAGGGACCTGGATGCACCTGTTGCTGAGACAGTGCCCGTGAGTTCTGTAGGTGATTCGTATCCCGGCATGCTCATCACGGTAGGCATCCATCAGCATGGCAGAGAACGTGAGACTGAAGAGGGTAGACGCGAGGATGGCGTTTCGCTTTACTCCGTCGGTCACTGCGAATGCCTCGAAGATGGCGCTGTTGTCTGTGACGCGTGCCATCATTTTGCCGTGGAGATGACGTACCATGTGCGTAAATCGTTCAGGACAGCATAATTTCTGCACGATTGTTCAGTCCCTCACGATTCACCGTATCAAAGGCCTTCGTCAAGTCCACGAAGGTAGTGTAGAGGTGGGTTCGCAACTCCTGGCACTTCTCTTGCAACTGGCGAGTGATAAACACCATGTCGGTGGTGCCCTGGTGTCGTCGGAAGTCCTACTGGCTTTTCGGCAGGGGTCCTTGCTCGAGATGTCCGTGGAGGCAATTGAGGAGGATGCAGGGATGATTTTTCCAGCGATGTTGAGTAATAAGATGCCTCTGATTGTCACAGAATTGTCGGTTGTCTTTGCGCTTGTAGTGTTTTACAGTGGTTGCGCCCTTGAAGTTTTGAAAAGCTTGTCCACAGCGCAACATTTACTGAAATGGTGTGGTGAGCTGGTCCATCGGACAGTGGTCGCCGTGTTTTTTTAGATTTCGGCTAGGATTGCATCGGAGTATTGTACTTTCCCGCGGGAGAGTTGTTGTACGGTGCGAATAGTTTCTAAGAGGGGGGTGGGTTGGGGGAGCGGGAGTTCCAGGTTGACGTTGATTTTGACTTGGGGAGCCAGTCGATGGCGACGTCGGAGATTGTGGAGGGGCGGTTGAGGCCATTTCTGAAGTAATCGGCCCAGCGTTTCAGAATCTGCGACTTATTCGTCAAAAGCGTTAATCCATCAGATTTGAGAAGCGGTTCAGTCCATTTGTCCGGGGGACCATAGATAGTCTTGATCGCGGCGAAGAAATTCCTTGGTTCATTGCGGTCGGCGTATCCCTGTATCCCTTCGGCCTTACAAGTCATCTCGCAACCGTTGCGGCGTCAGGTGGTGACACTGGTAAAAGGCCTTTTTGTTCGCAGCGGTTGCGCGGTCGAGGTAGGCTCTGTGCGGCCTGTTCTTCTCGGTGAGCAGGTTGCTGGTGGCAGCGTCATTGTGGTTGAACCAGTCTTGGTGCTGGTGACGTGCGCGTCCGAGTGCGGTCAGAGCAGTCGAGTTAACGGCGTTCCGTAATCAACACAATCTAGCCTCCGCGGAGGCGTTTTCATCTGCACCTGGCAGGCTTTCCAGCCGTTGGGTTCGTTGAGTGCGGAAATACAAACGGTGAACAGGCAAAAACAACAAAGCAGTATTCAGCTTACTTTCTCGTCTCTTTCCTTGTGGTCTTTTGCTGGGTTCCAAACGGAACCTCATCTTGGAGATGTCGAAACGATGGTCCGTCCAACCATCGGCGTCGCATATCGCCTTGGTCACCACCACGTCCTGTTGATCTCGCCGCTGAACGAGGACATAATCCAGCAGCTGCCAGCATCGCGATCGGGGGTGCATCCAAGTGGCCGTCCTCCGCATCGGCTAGCGGAAGTTGGTGTTATTCAGAAGGAGACGGTGTTCAGTGCAGGTTCGCAGGAGGCCATTGTCGTTGCAGCCGGCAATTCCGTGAGGACCCAGCACTACCTTTCCGACGGGGGCGTCGAAGTCACCGAGGACAAGCAGCTTATCCGCCTTCGACGCCTTCGCCAGGAGGGCATGAAGGTCTTCGTAGAATTTGTCCCCCTCGGAGTCAGGGCTGGTCATCGACGGAACGCAGACGCCAATGATGGTGGCGAATTTGCCTCCCCGAAGAGGCAGGTGGAGGCTCATCAGACGGTCGTTGGTGCCCTGCGGCAGACAAGACAGTCGTCCCACGATGTCGTTTCGTATGGCAATGGCGACGCCCGCGTTCCGTCGCTCTGCCTTCGGGCGGCCACTCCGGAAGGTGTAATCGGCACCAACCTCCACCGGTTGGCCTTGTTCGGTGAACCGGGTCTCACTGAATGCAGCGATGTCCACCTTGTAACGCACCAGTTTCGAGCCACTAGCGCCGTCCTCCGTTTCTGTCGGTTGCTCCTCAAGTTGTCTAAAAGGGAACGAACATTCCAGGCTGCCAGAGTTAGCGGACTCACCCCACCAGTCTAGTGAGTGGGACGACAGGGAGGGGGAAGAAGAGAAAGAGTGTGTAATTTCGATTTTGAGTGTTTCGACCGTGTGTTTTACGTCTGCGACCACGATCAACCCTCAGACGGCATGGTTCTCCAGCATTTGTTTAGGACACCTTTTCTAGCCTCTCCCCCCTCCCGGGGGTGAGCAATGCTCAACTGTCCCAGACGGCTACCGAACCCTAGTTTGGGCCATGGCTTTTGCTTAGTGGGTGAACGACCCGAGTTAGCCTGGGACAGCCTACGACATCGCCGTAAGCTGAAGGGGGGAGGGTAGTGAGACTGGATGCCGAGCTTCCCCGACATCGCGTAAAATGAAGGGGGAGGTAGGTAGGGGCGGGCAGAGAAACGGGATGCAGAGCTTTCCCGTCCCTCTCTCTTAACTGGTTACTGATATATAAGCGCTAAGCAGACACAGTCAGCAGAACAGCATTTAGTCTGCAGTAAGGACAGACAAGCAGACAAAGGCAAGCAGGCAGAACAGCAAGAAGCAAAAGCAACAGAGGAGATTCAACAGAAAGGCAGTTAGTTTTTAACAAGGACAGACAGGGACGACGGAGAGCAGGCAAACAGGAACAAGCGAGGCAAAGGCAGCAGAGCAACGTTCGCTTACCTGGAGGCTCACGTACCTTGTGGCCTCCTCTCGTGTTTAAGACGGGATCTCGTCTCGGCGATGCCGATGCAGTGATTCATTCGGCCAACCGAGGTTACCGTTTGCGAGAATGCCCACACGGATACCCTCACCTGGTTTGGCCCGCCGGTCGATGCCGTTAATGGGGTGTGGCCGCTAGGCAGAGCCTTGCTTCAGAGAGTCCCAGGCGATAGTTGGGTGCCAGCGAGTGGACGGTAGGCGTAGTCTATACCTGCAGGCAAGCGAACTATCTACTATATTCGTTACGCGAACCTACCGCTGGACATCCCCTACACTTCGCCGCTCTGCGCGCCCACCATCGCCGTAGCTGATACTGACACCGCCGACTTCTCATGCCCACAATGTCCCCGCACATTGATGTCACGCACTGGCCTGGTCGGCCACTTGCGAATCCATCGCACAGAGACTGGCGAACCAGTGACTTGAGCACCAACCTACACTCGCCGCATCCGCCTGGTCAAGTCTGTGTCAGCCAAACCGGTACAGGCTTTATAAGTGGTCGATTTCATCCGATAAATGGCAATGAGGACTAAAGGACTATACACTTGCACGGGACGGCCTTGAACTTTTATGGCTGTGTGACCGTCTTTTAGCCAGCCACACTGTTAGTCATGTCCTATGTTGTATCGTTTCTCTTCCAGGGTGACCTCACCCGGGCGTGGTAGGTCCACGGCCGAAATCTTCATAAATCTGTTTTTCAGAAGAATTTCCGTCGCCAGTATGCTATGACGTTTTATTTGTCGTAAATCCTAGTAGTTCAGTGACTTGCTGGTTTTTACTCTTTGGAATTCGGGCGTTTTTTGGAATATGCATTTGCATGCGGTTGCGTTCATCACTACCCCATGAAGACGTATAGGCGGCGAGATCATAGGCCGTGTCGACGTTTCGGAAACTTCTTCGTTTCCGTCCCCAGATTGTTGAGATGGCTGTTCCTACTGACTGTAATTTATTCAACCTCGTCGTCTGTCTCATAACGGTACCCGATGTAGAGACCTGCCTGTTTTCATTTCCGTCTACCTTATGTCTTGTGTAAATGTGATACAAGAACCTAACCAGTGACTTATTTTTTAGCTGGCATCTGGCCTGTGGTGGTACTACGTGTCCAAACTAATTGAACTAACGGATACTCTTATACTTATATTGCGCAAAAAGTCACAACAGTTGACATTTCTCCATGTCTATCACCATGTGACAATGCCCTTTTGGTGTTGGATAGCAGTGCGCTGGTTCTGTGGGGGTAGCAGTAAGTCTGTTTGCATTTATTAAGTCTGCTGGTTTTCCTGTTCTTCCGCGCCTTACTGATCTTTCCTATTCTAGCTTTCTTCATTCCAACCATCAACAGTTTCGTTCACGTCGTAATGTACACCTACTACGGTCTAGCTGCCTTTAGACCGAATTGGACACTGTACCTGATGTATAAACATCTTCTCACGGTGTTACAGTTGGTAAGCAACACTTTATGTTACCCGACGCATTCCCTTGTAGGTGCAGTTCTTTATATGTATGTTGTTCGGCCTGACTCTACTCCTTGTTCGTTGCGACTTCATACCTGTTCAGCTGGTCTATGTGGGTTTGACGTATGGAGCCACTATCATCGGTCTGTTTCTTAATTTCTACATATCTGCTTATTCCCGTGATCGCAAAAAGACTCTGAGACAAAGCAACCAACTTCGTGAACATGCCGACTGAAGGTCCGTTTCCAGATCTTTTATACTAGCAGTCTTGAAAATCACGATTCCATCTGACTACAAAAGCCCAGTGTAGTTCCGGTGTTTAACCGCCTTTGTTTCAGTTTCGAGGTTTTACCTGAAAACTCATACCGCTTTCTCCTGTGGATTGACATTAAACTGGTGCCTGAACCGAACAACTGTTATAACGTGTAGACGCCTCGACCACAGCCCCTTCCGCAGTTGAATTATGAAAAACTAACGTTCTGCTGTACTGGGTCGTCGGCTTAACTCCATAACTATTCTTTAAACTGTCGAATAAAGTTTAATTTTTTACCCGTGTTTGACAAGCAAGCCCACAGCTGTAAAGCCGAGCTCGTGTTATTAGGCGTCAGTGTTTTCTCGGGTTCAGACCCTTTTAGGAAATCCTTATGTGGGTCAACACTGTGGGCTCAGTTCACTACCCGGATAAAAGTCGCTACTTCGTTAATATAACTTAGAATCAAGAAGTAAGATGCGAAGCATTCAGTCCGCAGTACCAAATTACCACCTTAACTCTGCTCCGTATGCTTTTATTTGCTTCTACTGCATCCCATTCTAGATGTCGACCTTTTTCCAACAGACCAACAACCACAATCGTCAACGACTCATTCGACTTATTTATCTATGGATACCTCTTGGTGGATGTTCAGCCTCTCTGCACAATCTATTATCGAGCCATCTGACTTTACAACAGCGCCTTGTTATTTGGTGGAAATATTTTTGTCCCCGTCGGTTTTTACAAACCTGATTAAACATGAGCAAACGAGTTAGAGCTCTTTCTCATCCACATGAACTTCACCCGAAAGCTGCTTTTCGTCTACCCCCAACTAAGACTATGGGTTTGTCCCCCTCACCACCGCCAAAGATTCCCGGTTTACGGGTTTTTTTTATAAACCTCGGGGTTTCGAAAAGTTGAATTTGAGGAAATCTAGCTACGCACCGTAACCTGGCTGATATTGACCCGAAAGGTCGTTGGATTGGTCTTACAGGCATGGTAGACTGGTACCTCAGGAAGTTACATCGAGCTATTACTTGTGACCTAGAAGTCGACTCAGATTAACCGTGCCAATCTGAGATATGGGGGTCGATGCTGCAGCAAGACCCGGCCGGAACAAGTATTGGGGTCTTTGTAACATCCGCTACTTGCACTCGCGAGGACGTCCGTAATTAATGATTCGCCAGCTCCCCGCCGAACGTTTGTCACATCATAGATGACCACCTCCAGTTGCGGTCTGTCGGCAGCAGACTCCCGAGCAAAGATGTGCTAGTTGGCAAACGGAAGATCACAGGGCCGGTGATGGTTCCAGAGTTGGCTTTCGTAAAGACCACCTATTTATTGGGCCGGCCGAATCGTCGGAAGCCTGGGCGAAATCAGATGCCGTTGTGGGACAGTCTTGCTTTCGCCCATTCAGGAGACCTGGAGTGTCTGTTTTTGGAAATCCAACCGGAGAGTAGGGCAGCTCAGGTCGCCTGGAGGTTCGCACAATATAAAGTGGAGTCTGCCACCTTCAACGAACGCACCTTCCGGAACAGTCGTTCAGGGAAAGAACGACGGCTACTTCACCCCGTAGGATATTAACTGCCTCATCACGATGAGGTTTCCACTTCACGAGAACAAATCCGCCGTCATCGTAAGCGTCTGCGCCCCAGAAATGACGCTCGGACTACAGAGAGCAAGTTCTAGGAGGACCTCCGTACCTTTCTCATGTCTGAATCGAGGGTTGGCAGGCCTGCTACTCCTGCATGCTTCAATGCGCCGATAGGTACAGACCAAACTACCGGGAGTGCTCGTAAGTTGTGGAAAAGGCTGTAGCAACGGTCTGTCACAGGAGCGCAACATCGCGAACATCCCTACGCCCTCCCGATCTCGAGCAGACCACTTAGATACGCACCTATACTCGTCACTGCCAACTGCTGGACTAAGAAGCTGGTCGGGGGGCAAGACCATCATAATGTGATTAAGATGTAGGGTGTCGAATGCTGGGCTGACAACCGCCAACTCCTATCGAATATGATGCTTCAGGTCCTATAACAGAACCGACCGCAGTGGACATTGCTAATGAGGAATCTGAGCAATGTAGCAGTAGACCATGCCAAACTCAGGCGTGATCTCATCAGAAAAAATTGTCAATCCCCATAGCTAGTTGCCGTAGAGGACGAAGACGTTCAGGAAAAATGGGATGGGCCGGTCGCTATACACGCCATTGGCAGAGAAGTCATCAAACTTTCAAGCAGACAGTTCGGAGACTGGTTCGACGGAAATGACGAACGGACCCAGTGTCTGCTACACAGTAAACTAACTGGACAAGGCATATACATTCCCCGACACACATGTCAAGTGTGGCAGAGGCAGCGGAAATGTAGAGCCGATCACAAGTTTGGGGGACTGAAGTTTGGCGAATGAAGAACTCACCGATCGAGACTGTTTACGGTCCTCCACTTCGCCGCGAACGCACCGACGCCTAATCTATACGGAACCGCACCGCCACTTATAAGCCTTGAAATTCTGAGTCGTTGAGCTGGATGTCCTCAGTCGCTTACCATCAGTCTGAGAAATCCATCAACAGACTTCATGGGGTGGAAACCAACAGTGAGTCTGACCGTTCGCCCTCCCTAGGGAAAAAATCGAGTCTGCCCAGCGGCAAAACTCCATACGACACCTCGACTCCGGCAGAAGTCTACCAACATGGTGGCCCTCAATTCCCAGACAAGTTAATCTTGCTCCGGATGTGAAGGTGAAGAGGAATTGCGTACGACTTCAAGGATGCCACCATTTTCCGCTTCTACAGACCAAAAGGCAACTGGCACATCCGCGACTATTACCGTGGAATCTCGCTTCTGGCAGCAAATTTACTCGCACTCTCCCAAACCGCATGGGTACACATCTGAGGGACGACCTCTCCAGAAACCTAATATCGATTCTGGAAATGCGAGACAACCGGTATTATACTCGCACCGGGGCAGCCAATAAAAACGTCAGATGAAAGCCAGTCTCAACACAAATTTCGTGTAACTTATAAAGGCCTACAACACCGTGAACTAGGATGAACTGAAGAATCCCATTAAACAGTTGACGCTGGTGAGCAATCAACTCTACGAGAGCATGCTAGCGTGTGCCATGGACAGGAAGCTAGAGCCAAGATTGTCCGTATGATAAGTGGGCGGGAGTTGCGTACTTTTCTCTATCCGCCCCAGGTTTAGTTTAGGCAGCCAGCCCTTCCACTTGCATCAACATCCACGACTCTTACCTTTTTTCCGTCAAAAAGGCATCGTAAGACCGGAGCGACCTGTCTTTAGAAAGCATGGTTAGGTGCTAATATGGACTCAACGAATTACGCTACCCTCCTTCCCAGAAAGAGAATCCTCGGGGGGTAACAGAGGTGGGGACGGCATCCATCTCGTCAACGAAAATTCGTGGACTAATCCTAGTTCCTTATTCTCATACAGGCTTGTAAACTTTATCCGCGAACCTTGGTTATTAAACATTCTGAAGTCACTGTTGTTAGTGCCAGTAGTGCCCAACCTCTGATTTATTCACAGAAACCTGCTGTATTGTCATGTGGAGACGTTATTCCTTGATTTTAAACCACAAAAGCCTGATCTTCCCAAAAACTCGACGATTCTTTCAGTCATTTTTGGATAATTGCCGTACGCTTCTTTCTAATACAGAAAGAGCTTGATGCTAACTCGGATCACTGCTACTGACTAGATAATTTTCACCATACTCGACAGGAATATCTGACATGAGATGAGCGGAAACCACACTCTTTGAAAATAGATTCATGTAGAATTAGGGACCAGGCCGGATATGGTATGCGCAGACTTGGTTCCAGTCCCAACTGCGTTGCACCTAGGTCCCTAACCTTTGTCTTGCCTCAGTACGCCCTCCTCGGCACGGTGATGGATTTCGTCGTTCGCCGTGGTCAAACTACTGGACCATATTGGACGAAACGTGGGTCTTGATGAAAAGGGAAGTAGTTAATGGAAAAACGCGTGTTCTACACGTCATATAGCTCAAGCACTCCCAAGGAATTATTGTTCTTCCGGACCAAATAGTCCTTAAAGTAGGAGGAGGCTCGAAACCTCTCGATAAGGTGGCGGATTTGTGTTGGCGTTAGTTGATAAACATTCTTCGGGTCTCTGGACATGGCCTACGAAACTAACAGACACAAATGAATTCACTACCTTGTGATCCTCACCGTAGAGTTCCATCATGTACATACAGAATAAGCGGTCATCCTCCGATATGAATTTCTCGCGCTGTTTGGAGCAACACTTTAATTTTTTCAATTCTACGAAATTTCAATATCAAACAACGCAAGCATTACCCCTGACGGTGAATGTCTCGGCCGACAATTGTGACTGGTCTTCGGATCCCTTAAGTAGCGTTTAACTAAAAGACATAATACCACTTCTCCAACAGCCTGGTTTGGATTAAACGCAAGACCAAGATTCTGGAAATTTGCCTTCACAGACATGTTGTGCGTCCATGACTTCTTCAAGATATCACTATTTGAAGTAAGTGGTTTAACGTTTTATCACTTCTTGATAACAAGTGGCCTTTTCTCCTTCCTTCGTAGTTTCCTACGATCTTTTGTGTAATCGAACGTATTCTTCCCCATGAGGAAAAACGGCAGAGGACTTTATTGACGGTGCTGGCGATGGACGACCTTCAGCACACGGGGTTGGGCCAAACAGCCTACCACGGGTAGCCCAGCAAACAGTGGTCGAAGGTTCCACAACCACGACACCAAAGACAGCTCGGATGACGACGTAAACAAACAAAGACGACGAAAATCTAACAAGAAGGATTAAGAAAAAATAGAAAGGGTTGCATAAGAAAGAGGAAGTCTTTCGTTTGATTTTAGGAATCATCACTCGTTATTCATGGTAGGCGCCATTATTCAGGTCCTCGTCGCCTGATCATTGGATCAATAATCTCATCCTCACCTAACGGTAAGCTTAGCTCATAAGTCATTAAGCAAACCATATGATTCATAGGAGCAGTAAGCCCGATCTTGAACCGCACGCCTACCAAACCCTGGACCTAACCATAAACCCAGCTATGACTGTAGCCCCGAACACTTAAGGAGACCTCAAACCTACTCCAGGGACTAAACCTAAACCCACACCCAAAAGCTAACCCAAAATCTAGACCTAAACGCTAGTCCTATCCCTAACCTTTAACCTGGCTGTCACGCTAACCCAAGCGATTCATCTAATCAGAAGTCTGAACCTGGTCTCTAACCATGACCCTTAGCCCAACACTGGCCCTAGACCTAGATACCAAGTCTAACGCCAACCCAAACCGGACTATAACCCCACTCCAAACAATAAACCTAAGCTCAACACAGCCTAACCCTAATACCAAACTTATGTATTAATACTAACCCCTTACTCTAACCGTGAACTGCAACACTAGCCCTAGCCCCGACCATAACCTTTACCCCAGCTGAACCGTATAAGTATTCCCTCCAATAAACTCCGTCATGAATCAAACCCCGCCGAACCCTAGCCCTAACTCCGTACTTAACCCCAAACCTCACAATATGTCCAATACCAACAGAGTTACGAATTCGTGTGAATTAAGCGGTTCTAAACCAAAGGAACTAAGGTCATTTAAGTTCGCCAGGAGTATTGTAAGAACACTCGTGGAAAGAATCAACCTTTCACATAACAGGAGTTGGTGACTAATGTGCAACCCGTGGGCACAGGTAGCCCTAGAATATGTCACCCGCGATTCGGTCGGATTGTCCGTTGCTGCACGGGTATGCCGTATAAAGGAATTGTCGTAATTCACTCTTGAATTTGACGTTGTCAAAATAAGGCCTTATGTTAACCGGATGTCGGCGACCTCATGCACACGACTTCGAGAATCCTGTAATTTTCATAGAAGTATAATATCATTTTCTATATATTTTTTGGTGCATTGTATCTGAGGTGATCGCTGGGGTGCATAGGAGAAATCCCGAAACAAAGAGGTTGTTTTCCTGGCAGCTAAGAGTATCAAGCAGGATAAATTACACATCCATAGAAAGGAGCATAGAATTTGAAGAAGGTTCCAATAGACAGGACGAGCATACACCAAGATATAGGCATTGTATTGGGGAGATCGTGTTTTGAACTCCATTTTTTCTCATGAAATGCAGGAGAGATACACTAAGCCGGGGGGAGGACTCATAATTTGTGTCACTTGCAAGTTGATCTGTATGGCTGATGTACATAGTCTGGTAGGGGATGTGGAACTGTTTAGCGTTAGCATATCTGCTAAAATGTTGGACAACTGACGCTTTTATAGTGTACCATTCAGCTAACCAGATCGGTAGACGTGGACTGCGCAAGGGCCACATGACATCTTTTATGAGCAACTTTTACAATGGGCAACGGTCAAAATTCCCTGCCAGAACGTTTCCTTCTGAAAGCAAGCTAGGCAAGGACAACAGTCGAACAGCCTTGATCTTATTTTTACTCGAGAGGAGGAAAATGTGCTAGACCTTCAGGACCGTCCGTCGTTAGGGTCAAGCGACCACATCAAGCTCTACTTCGAGTACTCACTGTTTTCCAAACCAATTCTGCCTGACAGGTGGGGAGAAAGGTTCGGAAAGGGGTCTATTCTCTCATGAGGAAAGAAGTGGCAGCAGTATCATGGGAGACTGAGCCCGACTGAGCACAACGACATTTTCTGCACTCCGAATGGGACTTCTTTGACATCGATACCGCTTCGCAGTTACTGTCTCTGAAGTTGTCGCTGGAACTTCAGTTCAGTTCAGTTTATTTGAGGGCAAATAGGTATTGAAGGTTTGGACTCTGTGATTGCGAGAGGGAGCGAATTATATCAAAAATTTCAAAATGAGATCATCAAGCAGCTGCAGAAATTTTTCGAAACCAGTGAGATAAACGAATTGTCCCGAGTGTTAAAAACCTTAAAATTACTAAATTTGCCGTACGGTAGTCTGTCTATGCATAATTGATGGACAGCATTTTCTAAGGGGAGCGAATTGAATGTCAGCACTCACATTCAATGGACTTGGGATAATAATAAAAAACAATTACAACTGAAATACAGGCAGGAATCTAATAAAATTAGTAAACTACCAGAACTGAATGCTAAAACGATATCGGTCAGGGGACATTATGGGTCCGCTAGTCTTCCATATTTACAACAATGATATTTCGACTGAACTCAGAAATTCGTAAAATTTTATTTATGCCGATGACCTCAGGTGTGTTTACTCATATTCTTAGGACATTGCAGATGTTTGTGTTGAAAAAAAAAATTAGTGTCGATTTACTACGCTTGAGCAGATGGGGTTGAGCATGGCAGATGGAGTTTTCATCATCAATGTGTACTTTCATGTCTTTTGGCCCCGCCAAACTTCCTGTTCCCATAATTTTTCAGAATAACCCACTCTCAGAATGCCTCACCATAAAGGACCTAGGTTTACGTTGTACAAATACATTTGCTTTACAACCTCAAGCAGATAGAATCTCTGCCAAAGCCGCACAGATATGTCCATTCATATCGCATAATTTTTCCTTTCGGAAATGGAACTAAGACTTTATCAAATGTTTGTTCTTCCAGTCTTCGAATACTGCTGTCCTTTCTTTGGTTTAATAAACGCCTGTGACCGTAATAAAATAAAAAAAATGTTTAGGGGGTTTTCACCCGGAAACTGTTCTCTCAAGTCGCATTCGGTACATCTTATACTCAGAGATGTCAACTGGCGAACATTAAGTTTTTGTGGGTTAGAAGACTCGAAGCCGGCCTTTGCTTCCTTCGTCGCATCAACTCTAACTTCAATCTTGCGCTCATTGACACTCTCACTCCGAGAGATCGGTCTTATAGCACGCGCAACTCCTCCATGGTGATTCCGCCGCCTCTTTGTACTACATCTAAGCGCTCCCTCTTCTTTGCTTACAAATATGCCTTCCTTTGTTATAAACTTCCGCCAGAAATTAGGTCATCGTCCAAGTTACTGGTATTTAAATCGCAATTACGCAAACACCTTACACCGGAAAGTCTGAAGGCACTTTTAACGGTCTAATTCCCGAGCACTCAGCTTCTTGAGTTCGAGAAAGGTCCTCCTGTGATTTAGTGGTAGATCGAGTGGAAACCCTCATTTATATCCTTACAACCCCTGTTTTTATTGGCAACTAAATCCACTGCTATCACTCCTTTCCCATAGCGACGATTTTCGCGATTCTTGATGTCATCTCTCTCATTTCGACCTCATGCGGGCTGTCGACGCTCACGGTGGAGCCCTATGTATTCACCGTCAACTAGTAGTTTGTTCGTACCACCCTTCCCCACTTCCCCGCTGGGGTCGAAGCGTACTGTTGCCGACCGCATCTGGGTTCCTCTCATCTCGCCACTTATACGCAAATAGTCTCATCCGGTGTATCAATTCCGCCCAGACGATGTCCGCTTATAATCCGTTATAGAGCGCCACATGCAACCAGTCCTACCCGCATTTTTGTTTATCATGAGCGACAGCTTTTTATCCTGTTATGCTAACCCAAAAAGGTCAAGGTCAAGGCGCGCAGCTCAATTTCAAAGATAACTGAAGCTTTGCATTTACTTGGATATTCTTAAGCAATTTATGCCTGTTTTTAACTTGAGTCCATTTTAAAAGTCGTCTTTCAATATAAGGTCTAATTTTTCCCAGTTTTCTTTGACAGTCTGGCAAAATAGTCGTATTTTGTAAAAAAAACCTTTGTAGTGACTCCTTTCCCGACTATCTCTTTCTAGTTTTCATAGTAAAATAACAGTGGTACTTGCTATTCAGTGCGTTTTTCTGTACGTTAGCAAAGTCTCGATCCTTGTACCGTAACGAAAAACTTATCTTTTCTGTAATGCCCCGCAGAGCACATGCTAAAAGACGAAAGCTTGCTGCCCCCCACCGTCTCCGGATGCTAGAATCGTCACCGAAGACATAGCAGTTGCCAGCATATGTTCTTCGCCTTCTGCAGATAAGGTTAACTCACAAATCCGTTTAGTACATGTTGAACCTCTTGACCATTCAATCGTCCATAAATACGCCTCTGCTAGTCGTAGCAGGCCATCAGACGGCGAAATGCTTGATCAGTTGATATATGGCGACATAAACAGTACTTCTGAAAAAGTAATTGAAGAAGCTTTTCAACTTATTGGGGTAATTAGTTCTGAAACCGAGGAAAGAATTAAACGCAAGCATAATTTTGTACTGCGAAACATTCCGAGCCACTTATCTGCTATGGAGGGAGCGCATTTGCTCCTACAAAGTTGTGGCTTGAGTTTCAGTGTCGCACAAGCTAAACGACTTCGCTCGCTTAGTCGTAATGCGCCGATACTAGTTACCCTTTTCTCCATGGTAGTAGTCGATTTTATCTTGTCGAGGAGGGAGATAACTAGAGAATTCTGCCGTAAATGGCGCTGCTCCGTTTCGCCAGACCTCACACCGCTGCAACGAAGACTGAATAAATTAAAATCGGCAAAACCAACACCAGGATAATGCCACCTACTGTCAGTTTGAATAAGTCCTTTACAAGTCTATCTGCGGCCTCTGCACGTCACGACATAGTCAATACTGTAGGGAATTCGACTACTCTTGATGCTGAGACCTTTAAAAGCAACAACACGCCT